GTCACAAAGCAATACAGAGATTCATCATTAATCTGTGTGCAGCTGTTGCATGTTATTAAAATCACAACGATTGGGCAGCTTGTAGAAGTGACTGAAGTAGTGACAGCAAAAGATACTGACTTCAACAGATACATCTCTGTAACACTAGCATGCATATACTGATGTGCACAAATAACCTGCACAAGATGAAATGTAGAACAAGAGCTGGAGAGGAGCCCTTACCTGAACACAGCAGGAAGAACACAAGGGTCATCATCACAGTTGTGGTGAGACTGATATTGTGAAAAGACAGAGTTCAGGATCTGTAATCAGAGGGAAACAGATCAAGATGGTGGAATTTATAAAAGTGGACAAAGTGTAATTCATGCATATCCACACAGTAAATTTCAAGAAGTCTCTTACCTGCTCAAGAGCCAAGTCCCGTCCGTTTAGAAGTCGCTGCACTTATATACTCTTTGAGGGTGATGTGAGCTCACTAAAGACACAAGGTTTTTTTTTTTCTTTTTTTCTTGCATGTGTGTACATAGTAAAAGCGATGATGGCCTGAGATTAATGTTTAACTCAGGGTTGTCAAGTGTGGATGATATTCAAACTGTGCTTCTGTAAACATCCTCTTGATGATGAAATATCTCACCAATGGAAAAACTTTTACTTACTTCCAACCTGAAACCCCCTCAAACGGCGAGGCAAGGAAACAGAAATGGTAACGAGAAGATAGAAGCTAAATGTGCTGCCAACATTTTAGAAGAGTAGAGTTACAGTTGTGAGCAAAAGTTTACACAACCTTGTACACACCATGGCAGTCTTGAGTTTCCAGTGACTGTACAACTCTAAAGTCTTCATGACGGAATCATTAAAACACGTTTTTTTTATAGGTTTTCTGAAAAACATGACAAAATCTGCTGGGTCAAACACATATATGTTACAAAGCTATCATTTGGTTTCGTGTCCTCTTGGCCCTTTTCACCTCAACCCGGTGCTTTTGTTAGCGGTCCACAAGCTTCTGGCAAATTTCCTACTTTTATCTTTCTCCTTTTGAAACAGTCGGTGCAGTTCAACTAACTTTGTCGTATTTCTGACACAGACTTGCTTCCTCAGTGCAGTTCGCTCGTTCTTGATGGGCTTTAAGTGAGGATTTCAGGGAGATCAGTCTAAAACCTTGAAAATGTCATAAATTAGCCATTTCTTTACTACTTTTGATGCATGTTTGGATTCATTGTCTTGTTTGGGTGTCCAGCGCCCAACCTTCTAGCTGATAATATTAGCTTTTCCTGCAGAAAGTATAAGTAATTCCTGTTTTTCATTATGTCATTTACTTTCTGTAAAGCAGCAGTTCCACTGGCACCAAAACTGCCCCAGAGCATAATGCTGCCACCACCATGCTTGACAGTAGGTTTGGTGTTCTTGGGGTTAAAGGCCTCACTTTGTGGCCAAATAGCTACATTTTTGTTTCACCTGACCGCAGAACTTTACGTGCTGCTTCCAGATGAAGGGCTACGTTCTTGCAACGCACTGTGACATTAAACACACTTGATCTGTGTTCCGGCATCTTCTAATTGCTGCTTTTTTTTTGTAATTCTTGGTTAACTCTTGAGCATCCTGACCAACTGTCTCTTAGCAGCAGAGGACAGCTTGTGTTTTTTTTTGGTTTTTTTCCCTCTGATCCTGGCAGTGACACAACTGTACCACAGTTTTATACTCACAATTGTTTGCACGGTTAATTCTTGGATCTGAGACTACTTCGAAATGACTCCAAGTGACTTCCTGCTGAGCCACTGCAGTGACTGTGGCTGCGTTTAATGGGTATATCAAATGGGTCTTATTTAATTGGGCTCAGAGAAGTCAGCAGCTGTAGTTAATATCACACGAAGTTAAGAGGTCATGCCACTGAGAAAAACTGACTAACGCAACTTCCTACATGACCAAAACCAATAATTCAAGTTTCTCGATGTATATTTTTAACCCACCAGTTTGTCAACTTTCCTGTAATTTATTTTCATGAAACACCAAAATGCTTTGTTGTTGTTGTTGTTTGTGACAAAGACACCGTTGGCTGGATTACAGACACGTGCTGAATGTACTTTACGGTAACACTTTATAATAACTATCCGTTGTAACTAGTTAATAGATCATTTGCAAACTGTTTATTAGTGAGTTATTAACCACTTGCTAAGTGTTTGTTAATAGTTTGTTGATGATTTATTACGATGCCTTACAGATAGTTAATAAACATTTACAAACTGTTAGTTAATGAGTTATAAATGACTTGTTAACTGTATATGAATGATTTACAGCCATACCTTATAAACCAGTCATAGATCATGAACAAGCCATTAGTGAATTACTTACTAATGACTTGTTAAGTATCAGTTAATAGTTTATATATGTTATTGGGACGTTATTCTAAAGTTGCAACTATTCCTCATTTATTCCTCATACATTAAAGACAATGTTCAACATTCTATCTGTTGTATGTCTTTGGTAAAATATAATACACAGAAAAGTCTATGGGTGGAAGAGGGTTGAGGTACAAAACTGTGATATTGTAAATATCACATCAAATTTCTGTACCTTGAACTTGTTCCACCCATTTGCTGTTCTACAAAGTTTCATTGGTACTGGTAGATGGTTAACAAACTATTAACAAGTGATCTGTAAAGTGTGAGTTAATGTAGTAGCTAAGTATTAGTTATAAGCTTATGTATGTTATTGAGACGTTATTCTAAAGTTGCAACTATTTCTCATTTACCAGCAGTTAATAAATGAGGAACCAATATCTTCTTTAAACATGATCAGAGGATATAACTTGGCACATCAGAGCAATACATAGAACAGGAAACCAAGCATACTATAGGAATGAAAGAGTCAGGTATCGAGTTCCTGCGAAGCTCTGGCAAACAATGAGTGCACCTGTTTATGTGATCCATGTTCCTCTTTTTAGTAGCTCGCACTGTGTTTCCTGGGAAAATGATTTGCATTCATGTCATTAGCCAAATTCCAAAACACAGTACTGCTAGATTATTGATTAGCAGAGCACACTCGGACAGGCAAGGACAGGCAAGGTGGACTTCCTCCAGGCTAACCTTTCAACCTGATACTTCGCATTTATAATGTGTCGAGTAATAATTGTTTTCACAGTAAACAGGATTATTAAAAATCAGTTCATGCAGTCGAGCGGGCGGTCACGCTATTGCTTTTCTGTTGTCAAAATTTGCAGCAGGTTTGCAAAAACACAGCAAGAAATAGACTAATTAAAGTTACATATTAAGAGAAATGACTTTTAAATATATTTTTTATCAATTCAAAAGTGTGTTCTACATGTACATATGTTTGTACTGACTCTGCCTTTTTCCAAAAGACTCAACATTCATTCATGCAAGCTGGTCTGCAGTTCTCTAGGGACTTTGTGCATGGGGCTTTGAAAGCACTAAAACTGCCCTTGTGCACGCAGATATGTCCGATAATTGTTTCAAACATGTCACTGATGCTGATAGTTCTGAGCAGAGTTTGGCTTTTCTGCATACAGAATTCCACAAATACACAAATTCTCCTTCCACCTCTCTCGGTTGTGAACCATGCCGGTCAAAGTGTGCACCCAGAGTTTTATTATAATCAAAATTAAATGTGTTTCTTACCCAACAGTTACTGAACATCTTCACGTTGTCCCAACGCTTTTTAAACTACCTACAACCAAGTGTACCTGTTTGTGCTGTGTGCAGGACAATCCCAGTTTGGTTGGAAAAGTTTAAAACCATGTTTATTACACTAAGTCTACCTATAACTTTGTTGTGGAGAGGTTTGGATTTGACGACAACCGGGCAAAAAGATGAAATCCAGCCACCAAAGTGGTGCTCGTTTGCATTTGTGTGGTCATATTTAGACAGAACAGTCGTGCAGAGAGAAACTTTTTGTACAGTGAACTGGTAAAACCTGTAACGCCCTTATGCTCTGTAGTTTGTTTCTATGAATTCTTGGGTAACTAGGTTTTTACCACGAGTTATATTTGATGTTTTTACTCCAATATGTCAAAACACAGAATGGAATATACAGTTTATTAAACCATGTCACGGCTAAAAGCATCTGTCACCAGAAATGCTGTTCTAATGAGAGCTACATGTGTTCATTATTCAAATCTTGGGACCTGGAACGGAGCCACCCGGCACACGCTGTACGTGTCTATGAATAGCCCTGTATATCAGGAGACGATATGCAAATTCACCAAAAATTTGTTTTTGGTGAATATTTACCTTTGGACTGACTGAGGGGTTTGAAATGTCACAGCGATGTTATTTCTCCATCTGAATTGTGCAAATTCATTTTCAGATGACGCCTTTAATCATCTCACACTATCAACACTACTGTGTGCAGACTTTTCTGTCTTTGTTCAGACTTCTGGCGTACAAGCAGTTAAAAAGCACCGCACAACTAAACTAGTGCATGTAATGAAAACCTTAAGATGTATTGTGTGCAGAAAATCTGCACCCAGTAATCACACCCAACAGCCCATTTCAGGATGAAAAATTGAGTTACTATACCTGCATTAACCACTTTGGAAGACTTGTTAAAACTTGATGAATCGGTTGAACTTACAGACATAATGACTGAGCTAACGTCTGTAAGTAATCAAAAACATTTAAATTTAAATGTTGCATTCATTTCACAGTGCATGAATAGTACAAGCATACAAAAACATGTGCAATACACTAAGTATGATTAAGAGTAACTTCTATCCTCTTGGCTTAAATATAGACTAGGTGGCAAATTTAAACATAACTAAACTTTGGAATGAAATATGTTCAGCAGCCACGTGGCACACT